CCAGCCCGTCCTGATGCCCAGGGAGCTCAGGAGGGATAACTGAGCCCTGGGGGGAGGGATGCCCACCTATCGGCCTCTCTCATCTCTTTCAGGCTCCTAGTCCTCATGAAGTCAGAGTTTGTGCTTCTCTCTCCTCCCCCCAGCTAACCACTTGGCTCTTGTGGCCCCTACGTACAATACCCAGCCTAGTGGGCATGTCCGCACCTGGGCCCCGGTGGGTCTTCTCCATCCAGATGTAGCAGTTGTTCTGAGCGACCCCTGTCTGCGAGTCCAGGAACGGCAGGCGCATGCTGCGCTCAGCGCACAGGCGGGCATTGTAACTACGGCAGTGCTCGATGGCTTCTCGGTAGAAATCTTCGCCCAGGCTGCAAGAGAAGGCCCGGCCCTCAGCCAACACGCCTCGGTCGCTCCGGCTGCCCAGCGCGGTTCCGAGACCAGCCCTCGCCGGAAGCTGCCGGGAGCTGAGAAAGCGGATCCAGGGATTCCCCGCGGGGACTGGAGAAGGCCACCGCTGGCTGCAGCGTGGAGAGACCCCGCACCACTAGAGGCAGCAGGGCATGGGACCTCCCCCTCCCACCGTTCAGGAGAAACAGAGCTGGTCCCCGAGAGGAAGAGGCGATGGCTTCGGCTGACCCAAAGGGTGAGGAGGAGGAGGAGGAGGAGGAGACCCTTCGTCCCTGGAAGAGTCCCCTCCCCTGGGAAACCAGCCCGAGAGACCCCTGCCCAAAGGGGATCCGAAGACCGTTCCTAGCCCGGCAAAGTCTCGGCTCGAAGGCACCGGCTGGGGCATGGCATCAAGCGGCCCTCTGTCTATCTGCTGGCCCGGCCCAGGAGTGCCCGGGGATGCGGAATGCCTTCAGTTCCTCCCACGGGGAGGCTGAGCTCCTCCGGCACCGAACAATGGGGGAAAGAGCAGTAGCGGACCCCACCCCGGCAGCCGGGCCGCCTGCTGCTTCGGCTCGCCGTTGCATCCTGTTGGGGAAAGCCCCGGCACCTGTTTCCTCGGCACACCTGCTCTCGTACAACACGCGTGCCTACAGACGTCCACGCGGGGCACCGGGAAGGACGTCGAGACCCAGCCCTCGCTGGTGCCGATCCGCCGAACGCGAGGTCACACACACGCGGGGGCCTCTCTCAGAAGCCTCCCCACCCTTTCCAGCCCCAAGTGCCCTCCCCGTGCCCGTCTGTACTGCCAGCAACCAGGCAGACCGAGCCTCTTCTGCCCCCCCATCCGCCCCCCTCCTCCTTTCGCCGCCAAGAGCAGCTGCCGGAACGGCTGAGCCCCCGCCGCGCGAAGGAAGGGGAGGGAGACGCCAGTCATCTCCCTCCCCCCATTTTGCATCCCTGCCCCTTGTGCTTGCCGGGGAATCGTGCCACCCCCCTCCCCCCAGATGTGGGGCACTCACTCACCATTTGATAGACTTGTGCACAGCTGTGGCCATTTTGATACGGTAGGAAAATGCCTCACCCAGCCTGTCTGGGCTGGTGGGAGAAGCCACGGATTGCCCCTTTTCTTTTCTCTCTTTCTTTTTCTTTTTCCCAGCCCCCCTTTTTTACCTCTCACATCGGAATATACTGTACAATTTTATTCATTCTCGAGCAGCTTGCAGCAAGGGGGGCCAATCACAGTCCAGCTCCGCTGAGCCCGGTGCACCATGGGGAATGTAGTCTCTGGGTCTTACAGAAGACTTCTCTCCTCCACATACACACACAGACACTTTTTTGGCATTAATATTTCCCCCCTCCTTCCTTTGCAAGCGCTTTACCCGCTGGGGGTGGGAAGCAGGCATCTGTCACAAGAGGACTACAACTCCCACAAGGCCATGCGCTTGACAGCTGGGAGACCCACCTCCCAGGGAATGAGGGAGGGTTGGGGATATTAAAAAAAAATGGAAGAGGGAGTTAATCTCACTGTAAATTGCCTTGCTGCAAGAAGCCGCCCTTGCCAATGGCAGCGCGGCTTCCGTGGAGCGGCTCTGGCGGGCGGGCGGGGGTCTCGCCCCGGCGCGGAACAGAGACCGCCAAGATCGCAATCCGGGCTTGCTGAGTCGAGTGCAAGCGGGCGATGCCGAACCAGCAGCGGCAACACCTGGTCCGCGCAAGCTAGAGGAGTTAAACTCAATCACCGAGTCTGGCTCCGGAACCGATAGGGTGCTCTCGAACATGTGCAGAGCGCTTCCAGGCATGAAATACGTGGGGTCAAGGGGCAGCTGGACACGCAGGGCTTTTCCGCTCCAGGTCCAGCAGTCCCGCAGTTTCTCCACCGTTCGTTGGGCAGAGCTGCTCGGCAATCTCCACCCCATTTCCTCCGTCCCCTTTCGGATTGGGGGCGCTCCGCTCAACTGTGTTGGAAGCGGCCCCGAAGGACCCGAGTGGGGGGACTTCAACCGTCCATCTTTTGGCCCTTCACGTCTCCCGACGACCCGCTATAGCAAAGCCCCCCCCCCGGTCGCTAATCCCCGAGGCCAAACCCGCGGGCATAGTAGCGCCCCTCCTCCTGCCGCTTCCGCCTTTTGCGTGGGCACAGAGAAGAGTCGCGGCCCCCGGGAAGAACTGCTGCTGCCCTCCGGGCGAAGGCCTAACCCGCCGCCCCGCTTCCCGGGACCGCAGGAATCCGCCTCCCGACTCCTTCAACGAAGGCCGCCGGCGGAGGGACGGCGATCTCGGCGACCTCCCCTCCGCTGGGCAAAAGCGTCCCGGCGGCGGCCTTTGGCCCTCCTTCCTAGTGGCTGCGAGTTCCTCCCTTCGAGAGGTCCGTACGGCGGCCCTGCAAGGTTTTGGGGGCCGGAGCCCCTCAGGGTGAGAGGCGGACCACTCGGCCCTGGGCCTCTGTTGGCAAAAGGCGGCTGACGCGCCTCGCCTCGCCTTCCGACAGCCCAACGACCCGCGCGCCCGCCCGGCTGCCCCCACGCAGGCTGCCACGCGCGCTGGCCACCGCGCGTGAAGGGCGTCCTCCCCTTCGGCCCGTCCGTCCCTCCGCTTGGCGGTTTCGCTCCTCCTTCGGCGTTGGCTCTCCTCGAAAGGCGCCGCTCAAGGGAGGAAAGGGATTTCTGCGCTCGGAGCGCACAGCGACGTCCCGGGGCTGTTGCCCTGAGGCCTTGCCGCCCACAGCCCCCCTGCCTCGGCTCCGACCGTGCCTCGGCTCCGAATTGCGGCATGCCGTTAAACGCCGAATTCAGAGGCTGCGACCCCCACCAGCTGTGTTGCGCCCGGCCCTGGGGGAGGGTCGTAACCGCGGGCTGGTCAGGGTGCCTCAGTCAGCTCCGGGACGCGTTGGCAGTCCTTTGGGAAGAACTGAGCCCAGGCTGAAGGGTCCCTCGACATGTAGCTAAGATGGAGAAGGGGCCAGGCCCGAGCCGGAGAAACCACTGCCTGGCTGGGCATGGACATAGACTCCCAGCCACGTTTGGGGCCCCTTTGGCAGGAGCAAGGCCAGCCAGCACCATCAGTTGGTCCTGCAAACACCACCGGTGAACCTTCGTGGTTCATCCCCATAAAGTATCTGCTGGGACTGCAGAGGCTGCAGAAAGCCCCAAGCCAGGAAGCCCCCCTCCCACATTTGCCTTACTTGTGCTGAGAGGCTCACGGTGTCCTCCTTCACCCCCCCCCCCATAAAAGATACAAGCTTTGCAGCAGGATATTATATTACTGGCTCTGTTATTTATTATATAATACAAATAGGTGGGATTCTTTAATACAAAAAGTTTCAAAATAAGATAAAAAATAACACCCCCTGCCACTTTTGGAAACCTCCAGGCAGTCAGGCAAGGCATTGTTCCCCAACTTCTGTCTTCTCCACTCGCCCGAGGTGGAGGGGCAGGGAGAGAAGCAAGGGCACTTCTGCTTTTAGAAGGGGTGGGAGGCAGCTGCTTTCAAGAGCCTGCCTAAAGCCGGCTGTCCCATTGGAGGAGGAATAGCCGCCCCCCCCCCAGTCCTCCTTGCCTGGGCCAAATTGTGGGGAAACACTCAGCCTTTTCATCCCTGAACGGTGATCCTGAGCCCCCCCCCCCCAAGGAAAGAGATTCTTCCCAAGTCTTTACATCTTGGAGGGATTCTTCCCCACCTCCAACCCACTCACATGCTTGGATTACTGAGGTGAAGCAAGGGGAATCACCCTGGCATCACCCTGAAATGTACGGGAATGCCCTGTTCCCCCCCCCCGCCTCCCTCCCCCTGTCCTTTGAACACTAGTACCCTGCCAGACCCATAATTGGGAATATGCAAAAATAAGATTAACCTGAAGAGATTTTCTCCATCCCAGAAAAGTGGGGGGCACCTCTTCTCCAATAACCATCCCCCACCACTGTTTGGAGAAGAAAGCTGGTTCTTCCTCCTGCCCCCCCCCCCAGAGGAACAAAAAGAGCTTATGGGTCCCCCTTTAATCCAAACCCTTGCTTCTTGGGGGGGTGTAGTACCCTAACTCTAACCCTGTTTGTGCCCCCTCCCCCAAGTGCACAGCGTGTCAGAATCTCAGCCTTAGGAAGGGTTACTCGGCATAGGGAGAGAAAGGAGCCTATCTCACAGCTTCAGGCCAAACCACAGGCATGGGGGGGGGAGCTGAGGCGCCAGCAGTTCTACAAAGATCCCCCCCCTCTGGGAAGAGGGGAGGACAGCTGCCCAGAGAGCAGGGGGCCTGTCATGCGTGGAGTGGGGCACGCCAAAGAAAGATGGACACTGTTACTGACGAAGACACGGATGCTCTGGTGCTGCTGCTGCTGCACAAGGAGGGGTGGGGGGAAGAGAGCAGGGACCACCCGCTCCGTCCCCTGCCCTCTGGAGGCCTCTTGCTCACCCTGATTTCCAACTGGCCACCCGTTCTCGGCCTGGGCAGGAGAGGAACTGGCTTCCCAGCCGTGATCTGGCCAGGCTTGGGGGCAGCTCTCCCAATTTCCACAGGCTGCTTTTCGAAGTGCTGCTCCCGGCCAGTTCTCCCCACCTCAAAATTTAGACCATCTGGCCTAGCAAGGTGGGGTGCTAAGGGGCAACCTTAAGAATCGGGATCACAATTCTATTTCAAAGGTTTTCTGCCGGTCACCAGAAAAAGGGTTGGAAGCAGCAGGGGGAGCCTTGGACTCTAGGGCAGCCCACTGGGTTTCAAAGGGGTCAGGGGGCTCAGGGTGGGGCTCAGAAATGCCTGGGGAGGGTTGCTCAGGAGCCCAGACAGTCCCATTGGCTTTGAGCCGAGGGGGGTCCAGGAGGGCCTGAGGGAAGGGGCTGGCCTTGACCCCCAGCTTTGTAATGGGAGCCTGTGTGGCGGAGCAGAAGGCATTGGTCACCATTTGGGAGGGTGTGATGCCCACTATGGGCACGCTGGGGAGGGCAGGAAAGGGCACAGTGTACACAGGGCCCACAGGCACAAGGGTGGGGGGCATGTGGGGAGACGCAAAGATGCCTGCAGGGAGGGGGGCTGCCTCGTAGCTCAGAGGAAAGCCGGGTAGAGATGGGGGGGCGGCCAGAGGCACCTGCTGATGCTGCTGGGCCTTGGCAGCCTTGGCAACCTCTTCCAGCCAGCGCTCTGCCTCCGAGGGGGTCCTCTTATGTCCCGGCTGGAACAGGGGGTTGGCCTGGGGGTCGGTCCATGAGGAAGGGGGTCCTGAGAAGAGGGCAAGACAAAGGTCAGCCAGTGGCCCTCCCAAACAGGCCTCCAGAGCTCCCCCCTCCCCAGCAGAGGGGAAGTGGGCCTTCTGGCCCTACCTGTGCTGCCCCCTTCCGTGGGCATGAGGGCCGCGGGGGGCTCTCCGGCCGTCTGGGCGAGTGATGTGTCAATCTGAGTGCAGAGAGCTGAGATGCCGTCCGAGTCCCTGCTGGGGGCTGCCTCCGCCTCTAAGACTGGCAGACGAAAGGGAGGGAGGGAGAAGTCCAGCTTCCAGAGCAGCTGGCTCCTGGGGGCTTCCGTTTCCCCCTCCCCTGTTTTCCTTCTGCCCCCTTCTCCCCTGGACCAGAGGGCCCCTCTGGCCAGTAGCTCCTGCCCTCCTTCCCTCCCTGCATCGAGTGCCAGTCCCCAGAACAGGCCTCTGCCCCTGACAGGCGGCCGAGAGCCCCCCTGCCCGCCTCACCTGCGCTGCTCCCGGAGTGGCCCTTGCGCTGCAGGGTGGAGGGCAGCTCGTTGAGGCGGAGGGAGAGCTGCCTCTTGAAGGGGGAGTTCTGGCTCAGGCTGGGGAACCCTCGGAAGGAGCCTTGCCGCACCAGCTGCTCCAGGGGGGCGTGGCGGCGCGGGATGGCATGTGCCCCCCCAGCCTCAGAGGCCTTCTCCTCTGGTGAGGTGGCCCCCTGGGGAGGGGAGGCGCTGCCGGGCTGGGCGGGGGCCGGGATTGGGGCTGAGGGGGCGGCTGCTGCTTCCGCTGCAAAAGAGGAAACAAAAGAGGGGTCTCGCTGGTGCCGTTCCCCCAAGGCCCCTACTGTCCACTGGAGCACCCCCACCAGCGTGGCCAAGGCCCTCCTCCTTCCTTGTCCCCTGCAATGCTCGGCCCAGAGAGAGGCCAGGGTGCAGAGTCTCTCGGAAGGGCCGGGGTCCTCCCCACTGGAAAGTCATCAAATTACGGTTTGATCCTGGCTAGTCTCTCTGGACAGAAATCCATCATCCACAGCCAGCTATCTTTCCAAATCTTTCAACGGGGCAGCCACAGCACAAAGGCTTGCAGCCCGGGGTGCCCTCTGACGCGAATGCCCCGGTACCTCCTACCTTTTTTCCTGTCGTGGGGGGGGCGTGCTCCAGAGGGGCGGGAGGTGGGAGCTGGGGGGCCAGGCAGTCGGAAGGAGCCTTCCCGGGCAAAGCTGGTGCGGCTGGCGTCGAAGGAAGCCGTCACCCCACATTCCTTCTCGCGCTTCTGCTTGCGCTCCAGGCAGGCGGCAAAGGCACAGCCCACGGCGTGGCTCAGGCGCTCCCCCTGGCACAGAGGGACGAAGCGAGTGAACACGGGGCTCTGCTGTGGGGGGAGGGAGCTGGCAAATGGGGTGCGCCTTCCCCTCCCCTCCGTGAGCCTGGAAAGACGGCTGAAGAGGCAGGGAGGGTTGGAGCCCTGAAGGCAGAAAGGGCGAGCCCAGCCCAGGACATCCCGCCTGACCAGCCAGCATCCCAAAAGAGCCTGGAAAACGCCAGACCTTCTCAGAGCCACGAGGGGCTCGCTGGGCACCCTGGCCGCCCTCTGGGCAAGGGGCGCTGAGGCCAGGGCAGCTCCTCTTCAAGACTGCCCTCCCTTCCGGGCAGAGGGCCAGGAGAAGAAGCAGAGACGCTCTGCCAGGGCAGATTCCCTCCCTTGTGGCAGGGTGTGTGTATGTGTGACACACAGCACGCACCGAGTCCTTCAGAGCCAGGAAGCCGTGGCAGATCCAGCGCCGGGTGGTGCCGTCCCGGCAAATGTAGGAAAAGGCCTTGTCGAAGTTGCGATCCGGAGCACAGAAGGAAACCTTCTCGATGGTTTGGTCCACAATCAGGTCCTGGGGGGGGGGGGAAGAGCCACAGCTCCACCAGACTGAAAATAGGACATTTGCCCCCTACCTGCCTTGGGAGGACTGCACATGCTCTGGGTACTTTCTGCACATGCTCTGAGTACTTTCATGATTGTTGCTTGACCTGGACTGGGAAGGACCCCCCCCACTCCCACCCTGCCACGAGCAACGGTGTGGCTCTGGCTCAAGGGGGGAGGAAGCCTCGCCTCCTGCCATTCCCCCCCCCTGCTTAATCAGAGCCCAGCTGAGGCCAAGGCCAGCAATTTCTGGGCACTGAAGGGGAGACCCCCCTGGGACTGGCACACTGCCCTTCCCCACCACAATGCCTACCTTGGTCTTGTCGTCCACCACGCGCAGCCCATCGGCCGAGACCCACAGCACGGACTTCACAGATTTGCGGCTGCTCTGTGGAGGCCACGGAGAAGGACCACATCGGCAGGGGCCACCAAGAGCCGGCCTAGGCCCACCTCCCAAGTGGGGCTTAGCCCTCTTGCCCCTTCTCCAAACTCCTCTGGGCAGAAACAGGCCCACTGAGGGCGGGGGGGGGAGCAGGAGAGAACCCTATGGGCTATTTTGCTCTCCTTGGCACGGGGTGGGGGCCACTGGATTGGGGGCCCGTGTCAGGGAATCCTCACTTTACATGGGTGAATCCCGCCAAGTCTTCTGCCTGCAAACCTGCCCCCCCCAGCTCCCCCCCTGTCCAGGCGGGGGTGGGTCTTGTGAGGGCAGGAACAGGGGGAGGCGGAGAGAGGAGACGGGAGACTCCTGGATTAAGAGCCAGCAATCAAAGTGCCCGTTGCAACCTGTGCCTCGGATTAATTAGCTAAATTATTCAAAAGACTAAAAGGCCTTCTTAGTCAGGCCACTCTATTTTTGTTGGCACATTATTTATAAACACTGCAGTTTGCAGTGCAAACAGCTCCTCCCCTCCCCCCCCCTGCTCTTTGCCTTCTGGGAAATTCAGCCCTTCCCCACCCAGGGGTAGCCTGCTCACCCCTCTGCAAAACAATGGTTTTATATAAAAGCCACACCTTAAATCCATCAAATTATCTTTCACTAATCAATGCCTCGGCTTCCTCTGCTGGAATTAACACAAATGACAAACAGCAGCTTCACAGAGTAAAGCATAAAGCCTGCCTGCTTGTTTTGAGTCTTGTGATTTGAAGATAATCTTTAAAACTCGTCAATAATTATTTTAAAACGTTTTAGAAGGAGCAACTTTGTTTTGAAGTATGCTGAGATGGCTGTGTTTACTTGACATGCACAACCGTTGCACTTACACAACATGGTGAAATTGCCAAAGGTCAGCCTTAGTAAGGAGGTCGTGTGAACTCAGAGCCCTGGGTGAGTTACTGGCTTCATGAATGGTGCAAAGATGAATCCAGGCAATATTTTGTGCAAAGTTGCTGATGAGTCACCCAAAGACCGAAGAGGCGGTTTGGGGCACGACCCCCCCCCGCCAGACTCAGACTGAAGGAGGGGAACTCCCGCTGGGGGCTGACGGGGTCCAGCATCCACTATGATTCTGTGTGGCCAATAAGACCCTGCAGCCATCTGGCAGCCCCCCTAGCAGAGGCCTAATTAACAGAAAGTCAAAGAATTATTATATTTATGTTAAAGGGGAGTTAAAGCACATTATGGACTTGGTTATTTATATAGCTGGTTAATGTTAGTTAGATTATGATTATTATATTTGTAACCCTGTATTCAGCTCTGGGAAGTGGGGGAGGGAGGGGGGGTTAGGGTGGGTTGGTTTTGGGGTTTATATTGTAACTTTTATAAAACTTTTCAATAAAAAAAAAGAGAGAAAGTCAAAGAAATGAGGAAGCTGCAAAGTGGGCTTAAGGCCCTTGGACTCCCACTGCTCGGGGCCCGAGACAGGTGCGCAACCCCTGGTCTGGCCAGAGCTCTCCTTGGGCATCAGCCCCCTCCTGGCCAGCTGGACCCTCACCGCTTTCAGCTTCTTCACCGCCTCTTCACACACCTGCATCCCTCGGGACTCCTCCACTTCCACGTAGCCCAGGTACTGCAGGGAGGGAGGGAGGGGGGAGCTGTCAGCAGAGGGGATCTTGGTGCCACGGAAGTGAAAGGGCAGCAGAGGCCACATTGCGTGGCTGTCCCGGATGCCGAGAAGCTGATCAGCCCTGCTGGTGGGCGAGGCACAAATCGAGGGGACCCAGCGCAGCCCCAATCACTAGAGTCCCCCCCTTTGGTTGCAAGACAAATAAATAAAGAGGCTGCCCACCCACAAGGGTCGGAGGATCAGCCCCTTTGGCCAGGGCCTCAGTGGGGCTGCGGAGGGGCGTTGGGCCAGCCTGAGAAGGAGAGGCCGAAGCCAGGGCTCAAGGGCCACTCACCCGCACCGGGAAGCTGCAGCGCCCCTTACGCACCGCCTCTTCATCGGCCTGCCACTGGTGGGGGCGGCTCGCCTCGGGCATGTAGGACGGTTTCTTGCGCCGAAGACTCTGCCGCAGTCTGTTCATTGCTCACCTGTGCCGGGCCTGAGGTAGGAGAGGGCAGTTGAGCCAGCTGCCCTCTGGGGAAGGAGCAGCGCACAGCCCTGACAGACGGGCCCAGGCTTCAGCGAGGCTCTCCTTCTGGTACCCAGGAGCGCAAGGTGGGGGCAGAGTTCACCTGCTGAGTGGGGGAGACCCTCTCCCCTTTTTCTCTCAGGCTCCAGGTGGCCTCAGAGGGCTGCAGCCTCCTGGAAACTCAGGACCAAAGGAAGTTTCTGGCATTGCAGGATCTCCCCTTTGTCTGACACCTCCCAGCCCCCACTCAGGGGGCTTGCAAACCAGCAGCCCTTTTCCCCCCGTGTTTTCTCCTGCTTTAGCCCTACATCAATCTCTGGGTCCCACCAGAAGGTCTTGCCTGGGCTTGGACCACCGCACCTCATCCTCATCAAATAAGGTGGGGGGGGCAGAGGGTCTTCCCCCATTCCATTTTGGAATAGGTGTGAGGGGGGGGCTCTCAGCCATGGTCTGATATTGCAAAAGGTGCAGTATCCTGGCCCCCTTCAGAAGGGGGGCCCTTAGTTTGCATGCTGCTTCACTGGCACCCCAGCATTGGGGGGCAGGTAGAACCCCAGCTCCGTCCCTTCCGTGTTTCTGCTCCCCACCAGTGTTGCTGTCTTGAACAACGGCAGTGAGGGGCGCAAGGCTCCCCGTGCAGCTTCCTTGAGCCCCAGACTCCATTTGAAACCAATCTGGGCTGGGCAAAGGTCATCCAGGGCTGAGGCGGCGGCCTCGGTTCCCCTTGGCAAGCTCTTCCTGTCTTCAGGAAAGTTTCTGCCCGAAATCCAGCAGCCGTCCCTGCAAGCGCCCCTCAGCTCACAGATGGTCCAGGCCATTAAATGGACTCTGCCCCACAGCGCAAACAGAGCCCGGTTTCTTTTGTGCGAAGCGTGTGCCCCACACAATGGCCACAAAGCGAAGCCCCTGGAACGCTAGGGAGACACACAAAGGGGCCCAGACGCAGACATGGTTAGGGGACGTGTGTCTGTGGGGAGGGGGACGAGGTCTTGTTTAGAGATGGCCTTTTAGCAAAGTCAAACTTTTCCACGCAACAGCTGCCCCGGAGCTGGTGGGAACAAAAGGGCCACACGGAGCCCCCCCCACGTCAGGCGAGCAGCTGCCCCTGAATGTCTTGGGGGAGTCCTCAACAGCTGTGTGTGTCCTGCCCCCCTCCCCCTTCCCCATTGAGCGCACCAGCTGCACCAGGGCTGGGCAAACATTTGGCCAAGAGGGGCTTGTTTCCTCAGCTGCCACCAGAATGCCCCCCTCCGCCGCCACTGCTGGCCTGGCACACCCAAGCGGCTGAAGGGTTTGTGGGCCCTGATGGGGGGGCCAGTGGGACTCATTCCCAGGCGGAGGAGGAGGGTGGGAGAGGGGCCAGCTCTCGCTCCCCAGAGTGGACCTGGAAGAGAGAGAGAGCGCTTCTCCCTGGGGATCGGGATGAGGGCAGAAGGCTCTGGGGAGGCTGATGAGGGCAGAAGGCTCTGGGGAGGCTGGCCGGCCCCTTGGAAGAGCTGGGAAGCCCTGCGGGTGCCCAGGAGCTTCGGCAATCCTGCCCTTGGCTGCTCATCCCAGCAGTGTGAAAAGCCCACCAAACGGACCAGGCCTCTGGGAGGGGGCGAACAGGAGGGGCCCTTCCCCAGGCCTGCCTGCTGCTTGTCCCCACCCAGGACAGGTTATGGTCCCCTGTCTCTCCTGCACCAGAGAGCAGCCTGTTTGTGTGTTTGTGTGTGTGTGGGAGGGGGCTGGATGAGCTCTGTACAGCTTCTGACCAGGAGAGGCTCCCATTGTGCTTCCTGGCTGAGCCAGGGAAGAAGGCAGCCAGGCACAAGGGGGGGGCACCTCAGAATGGCCAGAGGCAGTGGATGCCCATGGGGGGGTCTCCCCTGTGGCTGGCAGGCCCTGAGGCACCTGAGACAGGCAGGCGCAGCACCTCCGAATCCAAAGCTGAACACGTTTGCACAACCTGCTTCCTGAATCAATCTGTTTTGGGGGGTTGGTCAACTTTTGAACCCCACTAATTAAAGGGAGGGAGCTTGCCCAAGACAGGAACCCCCCAAAAGTAACAAAGTGAGCTTGGCCTCGTGTGCAAGTGCAGTTGTCAGCCTGTGTGCCCCAGGGTCCATGCGCAGAGGCAGCCTCACCAGGAGAAACTACCCCCATTTCCATCACACACACCCCATGAGTCCAGGGGCACACCCTATGGCAGCGCCCAACTCAGGGCAGAGGAAGCAGCACAAGTCAGGACCAGCCAAACTTTGGTTCCTCCTGGCCATGGACAAACAGCTGCACACCCAGCTGTCTGTGTGAAACTGCATGTCATTCTTGCGTGTTCTAAGGAGAGAACATTAAAAACAGGCGGGCACAGCACACACACACCCCCTGCTGCCCCCTTGTCTCTTATCCAGCCGCAGCATTGCTTGATGCTTTCCCCAAGAGGAGCGGAGGGAGGATGCGATCTTCTCCCAGGCCATCTTGGGTTGGCTCCCAGTTTCTCTGGGTCTCGCCCTGGACGCCCCCATCACTTTGGCAGCTGGAGAGGACAAGATCAACAGGCCTCACCCCCCTTCCCACCACCATAGGGCTAGGGGGCTTCCAGGGAAACACAGTGGGACTCCCCCCCCTCCAGCCGGCCCTGCCCTGCCCTAGTCCAGCCTCCTGGGCTGGTCAGCTGCAGCCGGGAAAGGGAAGGGCTGCCTGGCCAGGAAGGCTCTTGGGCCACCTGAACTCCCTCTGGGAAAACTCCGGAAGGACCTGGCAGACCAGCCGGAGCCCATCCCTTTGGTCCCAGAGGTGCCAGGAGAGGAACGGGGAAGGGCCTTGGTGGACCGGTCCCTGTGGGGCCAAAGCAAGCCCGGCAAGAGAGCCCACCTGGCAGGTCTCCAGTGTCAGGAACGAAAAATGGCCGAGGACCCCAAAGACGCCATCAGTCCCTCTGGACGGGCAAGACCTGCTCCCCCAGCCCCACTCAGCAGAAGCCCCCTGCCTGAATTAGCCCAGGGAGGACCCTGAGCCTGAGGATATGCAATGAGCAGGTGTCCTCTGAGCCATATGCAGATTGCAGATAGCATTCCTTCCCCAAGGATGACCCCCCTCCCCGCTACTTGGATTGGGTCCCAACTCAACCGGAGCTCTAGCAGCTCTCCCCAGCCTCCACCCACTACAGATGCTGGGCGCAGCACCTTTTTTTGGGGGGGGGGACAGAGAAACCGCTCCTCTTCCTTTTCAGTGTGTTCCCCCAAAGAGACGCCCCCTGTGGGAGGGAGGGAGGGGCCAGAGCTTTGCTGGGGAAGGGAATCTCGAGAAATCTCCCTGCTGGGGCCGGCACAAGGACGCTCTGGAGGGAGGGGCTTCTCGGGGTGGGGTGGGGCCCTCCAAAGCCTAGGATCCTCTTCCTGAACTCTGGATCTACTGTGAAACACCTTCCCAAGAAATTATGTGGGTGTGGGGGGGCTATGCTACCTGGTTTCCCCCATGGCTCTTTTCCAAAATGGAGCTCCCCAATATTCAGCTGAAAAGAGCCCCATTCATCCTGCCCCAGTCCCTTGATGTCGGTCAGTCCCTGACACGGCCTCATTTCTGACCACGAGTGAGCCCGCCAGGGAGCCCCCCCCCCCCCGAGCCTGCTTTGAACAGGTCACCAAGCTTTCTGTGGCCCCACCCAGGAAAAGAGTCTCCTGGAGGGAAGGAAGCAGATCGGGCAGACTTTGTAAGCAGCTTAAAATAGCCGAGGCAGCCAGGGGGATGGGGTGGCAAATGGGGCGTTCAGGGCCTGGGTCCTGGGGGAGGCAGCAGCTTCCCAGGAGAGGAGAGGGAGGGAGGGAGGGAGGGAGAGAAGGGAACTTGTCTCAACCCAGGAAAACCCTGGAGCTGAGCAGCCCCCCCCCGCCTAGAACTGGGGCTTGTCAGGTGGAGGGGCTGGGAGGCAGCCCCCCCATGCAAACTCTGGGAGATAGAGGAGAAAGGGGGCGGGGCGGGAGGCTAAATCTACAATCCACCCAGCCTCTCTCTGTCAGGGCTGCTCTCCAAAGGGGTTGTTGTGGGGAAGCACATCAGAGAACATATTAAGGGTGTAGATCAGCAGACTTCATGAACCCCATTTTCTGAGTAGGTCCAACTGGCTGGATCAGACAGGAAATCCCCCCCCCCAAAGATTCGGGAGACAAACCATCTCCCCTACACCATCAAGAACAGAGAAAATTAAGATTCCTGCCCTGATTCTCCCCACTTCAAGAGACCCTGCTTGGTAGCATCACATTCAGATGTTGCCCTCTGTGACCCGCACCCCGATTTCTTGTCAACTCCCACATACACATACAGCGCCATTGCTGGAAATTCCCAGTAATGCAACAAATGCAGCATCCTGCGCTGCACCCCTAAAACCTTGCTAGCCTCGCGGGGAGCACACGAGCCCACGCTCAGAGACGGAGAGGGGGAAGGCGGAGAGAAAAGTTTCCCGAAACCCCGTTTGGCAAGTGACGGCCGGCGCTGAGGCTGCTCCATGATCCCACCCCCTCCGGGGGCCGGTGGAGAAGGACGGCAGGCGCCAGAGCCGGAGCGCCGGGTGGGGCGGCCCGGCAAAGGCCAGAGGATGCTGGAGCTTCCCGGCCTGCTTGAGGTGTGGCGGGGCGGGGGGGGGCGGCGGATCGGACCGCCTGCCTCCGCCTCGCCAGGGGGGGAACCCAGCCCTTCCCGGCGCGGCTGCCGAGGAGCGGCTGGGCGGAGGCGCGGGGGCGTCGGGATGCGATTCCTGCCCCCTCCCCGCGACCCCCTTTGGGCAACCCGGAAAGGCTTGCTCTCCGTGGAGGGCGGCGGAGGGCGGCGGAGGGCTGCTTCGGAGGGCGGCGACGCTCGGGCTCTTGCGCGGGGGTCCCTCTCCGGGCGCCGCCAAGAGGCTTCCGCCGGGGCGTCCCCGAGAAGCGCGCCTCGGAGCCGCCTCGACCGAGAGGATGCGGCCGGGGGAGCGGCGCTCGGGTGACCGTGAAGGCAGAGAGAGACCCTCCCCCGCCGGTCCCCCCAAGCGGGCAGCCGCTGCTTCCGCCGGCCAGCCGGCGTCCTCACCTGGATGCGGTAGCGGCGATCCTCCTCCCGGTTCGGCATCCAAGGGGAGCGAGCGAGGAAGGGCCCGATCCCGCCCCTGCTGCTCCGTCCGCCCGCGGACCCCGCTCAGTCTCCGCCGCCGCCGCCGCCGCCGCCGCACGCACGCGCCACCCCCTCCCGAGGAGAGACTCCAGCCCGCCTGGCCACGCCCCGGGCCCGGAGGATGCGAGGCAGGCCCGCCCCCTCCGCGAGACCGCGCCCCTCCCCGCCCGCCTCCTCGCAGAAGGCAGCCCTCGCCCGGCCCGGCTCCCGTTGCTGAGGCCCCCGACTGGTGCCCGGGAGCGCCTGCGAAAAGGACGCGCCTGGAAGAAACGGGCGCCTTTCAGAAGGCAGCGGCACTTTGTACATGCTTGCCGCGCCTCTTCCTTCCCGCGAGAAGCGACGACGCTGCCTCAGTAACAGCGAGAGCCAAGAGATTGCGAGGCCGGCCGACAGACCGACATCCGCCCCCCCGGGAGGAAGAGCGAGGCAGCGGGGGAGGCGCCGCTGTCCGGCTGCTGATCAGCCCCCTCCGGGAGGGAATCCCTTGGGCGGGAGTCACCTATTTGGGGAGGGGGCCCCCTCTGCGCCTCCCCAAGTGCTCCTCGGGCTGGTACAGAGCACATGCTGGGGGGGGGGCGGTGACTCCGAATCTGGGTACCACAAGCGGCGTCTCCACCCCGAGGGAAGATGCTGGCGACCTGCTGGGAGAGCAGGAAGTCGGACTCCGGGGCACTTATGACCTTCGTCCCTGGGGCGAGGAGACTGCTGAGGGGAGGACTCTCCCCTCCCCCTGGCAGGGATCTAGGGCTCCCTCCATTCTCAGAGCAGAGAAGGAGAAAAAGAGCCAACAACTCTCTCCTTTTCACACACCCTTGCAGTGGAAAAATCCCCCCCCCTTGGAGAGTGGTGGTTTCTTTTCCAGGAAAGGCGGCTTCAATGAAATCCAGCTGGCAGCTCCTGATGGTCTGGGCAGGGAGGAGCAGGGCCTCCTCTGCAAGGAAAACCAGAAGCCGGATTGAGGGGCTGCTCAAGGAGGACCCAGGAAAGGCATCCTTCTCTGCCCCTGGCTAGCCTCGGGAGGGGAGGGGCAAGGAAAAGAGCTCCCCTCCCAGCGGGCATTGGGTCAGGAGGAAACGTGCTGGGAAGACCAGCTGGAGAAAACTCAAAAGGGCAAAGAAATAAGAACCAGGAATTGGTCGTGGAAACCGGGTCTGGCTGTGGTGGGGCGTAGAGCCCACAAGACCAAGAAATTGTTGAGAACTGAGTGAGCGTCCGTGCTCTGCTGGAGTTAAAGGGAGGGCCAGTCTTGTTCCTCAGTCCCTAGGAGGAGGGAGCTGTGGATCTGACCAAAACAAGCCCATTCTCGGACAACTTTCACCCTGCCTCCAGCCCTCCTTTCCTGGAGAAGGAGGTGGGGAAAGTTGTCCGGCTACAGCTTCAGAGCATCCTGGAAAGCAGGGATGATGGACACCCTGTTCTGCCAGGGGTTAGAGTGGGCTATTGTCCCCAGATGGCCTTGGAGTGCTTGCTGATGACCTCTGGTGGAGCTAGGATGGGGGTTGTGCAGCCATCCTGGTTCTCTGTGATCCCTCGGCAGCTTTTGGTACCACTGTCCGTGTTATACCGCTGGTAGGATTTAAGAGTCAGGGACCCCGTGTTGGGCTGAATCTCCTCCTCCTTTGTGATCGGCCAGGGGAGAGCCGAGAGGGGGCTCAGTGCTCTCACCTCTCTTGCCCAATGTCCACGTAAGGCTGCTGATCAAGAGAATTGCTGCTTTGAGGCCAGATATCATCAGGATGCTCCTCTTGACCCAGAATATCTGGCTGTTGCCAAGCTCTTGTCCCAGGGGGTCAAG